TCCAGCAGCTACACGGATGGAGGGCGGCTCCTTCTCCACGTGGGGCTCCCGCCCTGGACTTCCTCAACACGTGTGTCGCCACAGCCGCCTCATTGCGCAGCGGTGGCGCGGGTGGCAGGCGCTCCTTTTCAACGTGGGGCTCTCGCTTGGATCTTCGTCCGATTTTACGGCCAAAGGTGCAAACTCGTGCAGCAACCACGCAGCCCGTTTCACCGCGGGGCCGTCGCTGGGCAGTTCCGTACTTTCGCGACACCGCCTTGGCCACCGTGCCCTTGAGGCACGAGTTGGAGCGTCCTCGGATCCCTCGGCGGTGGACAAATCTCCCTTTTAGCAAACCTACCTCCCTTTAGTGGAAACGGCCTGGGACCGAAACCGACGGACCTGGACCCGCAGAAATGACGGCCGCGACGCCCTCTCGAGAACCGAAAACGGCCAATTCCCTAATCGACGTGTCAGGGTAGGAGGTCTACCAACCTCCGAGAGTTGGAGTGTCCTGGGGTCCCTTGCTCTTTCTCCTGGAGCCCCACTCTTCAGTCTGGAGGACTCCCTAAGGGGCCAAGACCCCAAGCTCTCAAATCTTCCGGGCGGGGGAGGAGGAGGAGGAGGAGGAGGAGGGGGAGGAGGAGGAAGAGGAGGAGGGGGGGGGGGGGGGAGGAGGAGGGGGGGGAGGAGCAGGAGGAGGGGGGGGGGGGGGGGAGGAGGAGGGGTAGGAGGAGGAGGGGGGTCGTTGTTCAAGTAGTTTAGCGTTGAAGTCTCCCAAGAGAAATGTAGTGCTGTGCTGCGTCGTCGGCCGTACTGTGTCCAGTAACTCTGCGAAGAAGGATTGGCCGACTTCGTACTCGTATTTGCTCTGCGGGGCGTACGCCGATACGACCGTCAAGATACCATGTTGCACTCTGACCCGCATTGATGCCAACCGTGGTGATGTCGCCCGGAACGCTACTACAACAGAGCGGGCCCAGGGAGCCACGATGAAGCCGACCCCGGCTACCGACCGTTGTTCATGGTCAGGTTCCCCAGATAAGCAAACCATGAATCCATCGTAATCGTAATATTCGGAATCATGTAATTGAGTCTCCTGTATGGCCAGAGCGTCGATGCGATGAGCAACCATTGATGCAGTTATCTCCGGTAACTTGACATATGAATCCCCACGAAGGCCTTCAACATTCCAAGTGCCAAAAACCTGCCCGCCAAGTGGTTGACATTCCCGTCGAGGCTGAAACCGCGTGTGCAACAACTTGGAAGAACGTGTCAACGAAACCGTGCAGATAGAAGAAGAAGTAGGCGCACGGGGAGCAGGAGGAGTAGAAGAGGAGGACGAAGATAAACATGAAGTCAATGAATGGTGTTGCGGCCCGGCATCTTTGCCCCAGCTCGCTGCAGAAAATGCGCTCGATTCCGTAGATGAGGACGCATCGGTATCTTTGCCCGGGAAGCGCCCAATGTCGGAAACAACATGCGGAAAAAGAGGTGGCCCGTCGTTGTTGGCCATCGTGCCGGGCTGGACGATACCTGGCAAGTACCTTATTTTCTAATGCCCTTTCGAATTTCAACTTCGGGTGGCCCTTCATACCGCTCGTGGAAGAAGTAAGCAAAGCGGTGCATTTATCTTCCAGCTGTTTTAGGCCATCGTGTTCGTGGAGTTCTTTCTAGTTCGCCCATGTCTCGGCCCATTCCTTCTTCGCGCTGTTGCCGGCCACCGTCGCCGTGAGAGCGTGTTCTCCGCCCACGTTGACCTCGTGCGGGGAGGCGTCCGTGATCTTGATGATGTAGGGTGGCTTGAAAGTGTCCTTCAGCAGGTATTTGAGCCCAAAACAGTAGTTGCGAGCCGCACGTTCCAGTGGCGGCCGGTCGGGCGAAGCCCCGATGTATTTACCATTATGTTGGAGACGTGAGCTCTTGATGAGCGCCACTGCTGTGTCATGGTCTGTGGTATCCGAAAACTCCGCGAACAATATGCTGGTCGTGACCCCTTTCATGTACATGTTGTGGGGTAGAAGGCCACCACATTGGGATAGCTGATCTCGCAACCATGTGGAAGCCGTGTTGGTCATCGTGAACTCATCAAAATTCCCAAAGACTGCCGTAATAGAGCGTTTGTCGTTCGGCTCGATGGGAACACGGGGATCTCCTTTACGTTTGAGCTGTTGGATTTCACGTTCCAGTGCTTGCAGCTTTCCGCGTGTACTTGTGCCAACGCTCGCTTCTGATCCCGTCCTCGCAGAAGGTCCTGGAATAGGCGCTCGCGAAGCATCCCGGGACTCCAGAATCTCCAGCCGCGTCGTAATGTCGTCGATGGCGTTGGAGATGGGAGCAACCTTAGCATCAAGATCAGCGTGTGAGACTCCATGCTGCTTAATGGCAGCTATGTCCTGGCGTACGGGGTCGAGCTGCTCCTTTAGGACTTCTCTGAAGGCACTCATCGACAACGACTCCCCCGTGACCTTATTGTCACTGCTGCTGTCCCCAGCTCCGGCCAGCCGAGCTTGATGACGTTGCTGTAGTTGGGCGGAGCTCTCAGTGTCGTCGAGCCCGTCCCTGTCATGTCATGGACTGTGGATCCGGTGCTGCTTGAAGAGGTTCTGAACAGGTGTACCTGGAGCGCGCTTGTCGGAAGCAACCTGCAGAGCAGAAGACATCAGTGTGGTATCGAAGTGTAGGAGAAAGCGTGAAAGAGCAGATGGGCTTTAGGGATGTAGGGAATCGGAAAGTGAAGAGAGACTTAACCCGGATGTAGACTGGCAAAGTGGCTTGAGCCTTGAGCCAAAATGGCTAGCTTCTTGAGCCAAAATGGCTAAAGACCTCCAAGGTGGCCCCATGACGGCCCAAAAGGCTCCCAAGACGGCCCAAGAGGTTTGCAAGATCAAGCTGGTCTCCAAGACGACCCTGAAGCGCCCAAAGAGGGCCCAGTCGGTTCAGAGAGACCCCCGAGACGGTTTCCGACGGCGTCAGGCGATCCAGGAACGCCCTGAGACGGCCAACGATGCCCCTAAGAAGCCCCCACAAGCCCCCTATGAAGCCCAACGAGGCCCTCAAGAAGCCTCCAAATGGCCCCCAGGAAGCTCCCAGGAGGCCCCAAGACGCTCCCAGAGGCCTCCTCCTCCTCCTCCTCCTCCTGCTCATACCTCTCCTGATCCTCCCCCTCATCCTCCTCCAAGTGCTCCCCGATGAGCTTCCAAAGCGGCTGGTGGAATCCACAGTCCGATAGCCTGGCCAAGTGGAGGCCCAACGATTAGCCACAGAAACGCTTACCAACACGGCAGGGGGCGGTGGCGGTTCGCCGTGAGCGTCTTCGATAGAGGGAAGTTCCCTTCAAAAGGGAGCCCCCGCCTGCATTGCTGGTCTACATGGCGCTCGTTACTCAGGGGGGAGGGGGGCGCTTCGCGCAATCGAACAGACTGCTTGTAGGGACTCGTGAGGAGAGGAACTCGGGACTGGAGGATGGACTGCCGCATCGCTGACACATCCTGGTTTTACTCTGGCCCCTCTTTCCTCACACTCATCCTGCCCCAACCCTTCCTCCTCCTCCTCCTCCTCCGCCCTCCTCCACCCTCCTCCTCCTGCGCCCTCCTCAATCTCCGCCTCCGCCTCCGCCTCCGCCTCCTCCTCCGCCTCCTCCTCCTCCTTCTCCTCTTTCTCTCATGACCATCACATCCATCATCATCGCACACGCAATCAGCATGCGCACCATCATCATCATCATCATCATCATCATCATCAGCATCATCATCATAGCAATCATCATCACCATCACCGTCACCATCACCATCATCACCATCACCATCAGCACCACCACCATTATCATCCTCCTCCTCCTCATCATCGTCATCACCATCATTACCATAATAATCATGAACACCTTCATCATCACCATCATCATCACCACCACCATCATCATCACCATCATACTCATCACAATCATCAGCACTATCAGCAGCACCACCAGCATCAACATCATCATCATCATCAGCATCATTATCAGCACCATCAGCACCACCATCATCGTCAGCATCATCAACCTCACCAACATCACCACCATCACCAGAATCATCACTTTCATCGCTATCGTCGATACCATTGTTACCTCCGTTATCATAATCAGTATTACACACATCATCATCACCACCACCGCCACCATCATCACCATCACCATCACCATCACCATCATCATCACTTCCATCCTCCTCATCAGCATCATCAGCATCGCCACCATCATCATTATCAGCAGCATCTTCATCTTCATCATCATCATCATCATCATCATTATCCTCGTCATCATCCTCAACATCATGATTATCATCATTGTCATCAACATCGCCATCATCATCATCACCACCACCACTACCACCCTCGTCACCATCCTTCTCATCTCCACCATCATCGCACCCATCGGCATCATCTTGCCCCTCCGTCTCCTCAGCAGCAGCACCGCCGTCACCGTCACCACAACCATCCATGATCATCGACATCTTTCACTCACAATCAGCACAACCACCAGCATCACCATCATCGTTATTCGCATCTTACACATCATCCTCACCACCACCAGCCCACCATTATCGCCATCATCACAACAGTCGTAGTACTCGCCACCATCACCCCACGTACACACAACACCAGCCCCATACCAGCACGAGTACCGCCCACCCTCCCTCATTCCTCCTTCCCCTCCTGCCTCCTTCCCCTCCTCACCCTGCTCCTCTTCCCCTGCCCCCTCCCTCCTCCCTCATCCCTCCTCTACCCTCCACCTCCCAGTCCTCCGCCTTCTCCTCCTCCAACTCCCTCCCTCCCTCCTTCCTTCCCTCGCTCCTTCCCTCCCCCCTCCTCCCGCGCGCGCACAGCGACGACGAAACCGACGACGACGGCGACGGCGACGACGACGGAGCGGACGACGACGAATCGACGACGATAACGACAGCGACTGAGCCGACGACAGCGAGGAGGATGAGGATGAGGATGAGGATGAGGAGGACCTCATCGCCCCGCTGCCGCGGCGCTCAAGGCTTGCCCGGGGCGGGCTCGCCGAGACGGCCGCCCGCAAAGCCTACGCCGCGCCCGCAGGGGGTAGGGTGATGGTGGGGATGGGGGCAACGATGCTGGGGGCGGGAGGGAGGGAGCCAGTAGCAAAAAGGGGAGGGATGGATGGATGTGAGGCAGGGAGGGCGAGAGGGAGGAATACGAGGGAGGAGGAAGACAGAGTGAGTGCGTTGGTGAGTAAGAGGAAGAATGAATGAGGATGATGCGGATGGGGGAATGGAGGACTGGAGGGATAAAAGGATAATGACGAGGATCAGGAACAGGAGCAGGAGGAGGACAGCGACAAAGGGGAGGGAGGAGGAGGATCGATCGATCGAGCTCTGGGGCCGAGTTCGGGGGTGACGCCTACTCTAGAAGTGAATTCGAGGCGTTCTACTCTAGCTCAGTCTAGCTATGTTCGCTTCATGACTGGGGGAACTGTCGTCAAGTGATGCTCGTGCCCTTCCCGCACCGTCTGTCCCCCACGCAGGGGGCTTGCGGGCGGGGTGGCGCCCGCCTTCACGGACGCTCGCTCGCCTGCTGCCCTCGGCCGTTACCCTTGGTTCGCCCCCCTCGGATTTCTTCGGGGGGCGTCTCGGGGGGCGGGGGAGGGCGGTGCACCAGGAAGTATTCGGGAAAACCCGGCCCCTGAATTCTGAAAAGTTCGGGCGTGGCCGTCTTAAGCGTCTGGGATAGCCCACCAATCTGAACAATTTCTCGAAATCTGGCGCTAACCTGGAAAATTCTTGTCACCGCTGTCGGACCGCTTCCGACTCGCACCTTGTTCAATCTAACTGTATTCTCGTCCAAGACTGAACTGGGATGCTCATAACCTACGCTTGGCATCTCATTCGCTGCTGCTCCTCCGCTGCCCACTGTCTCCTGCTCCGCTGGGCCTGGCTGCTCATTGCTTTCTGCTGCGCTGGCACTCGGCCCGCTCAGTCCAGCATCCGTCCCAACCCCCTCTCCAGCGCCCCCCTCGGCGCTGAGCCGATCTTCCTCGCGGCGCCCTCCTTCTTGAGACGGCTGCGCAGGATGACGCCCAGCTGGTGGTGCGTCTCGCCGAACTTGCACTGGAATCCGCACTTCTCCTGGCCGTTCGCTCCCTTGCCCTTGTCGCGCCTGGCGCGGAAGACCGGCGCCATGTCTGCGATGCGCTCGTAGTTGTTGGTGTTGTTGGCGTCCATGAGAATTTCGCCGTTGTGCTTCTCGACCTCTTTCTGTGCTGCTCCCCTATCCGGCGCCTTGCCCATGTGCGCGCAAACCTCTGCCCAGACTCATATGCGCGGCGATCCCCGGCTGCCCGCGTCGACCTCTCCGCGCTTCGCTCGCTGGCGCAGAGCTTGCGCGTCCTCGTTGTGCTTGCGTCCTGCCTCGAGCCCCGTAATGGCGATGCCCGCTGATGTCGCGATCTCCCGCGTCTGTAGTGCCGCCGCTGCCAGTTCTGCCTGCTCCCGCGCCGGCGACAGGGTGAGTCTCGCCGTGATGTCGAGCATCTGCTGGTTGTTGTTGCCTTGGCCCGTGGGTGCCGCTCCTTGCGGTCGTCGTCTCGGTCTCGGTCGGCTTCGGACCTATGCCCGTTGGCCCGCGGGTGCGCCTGCCGTCGCCTGAGGTCTCTGGTCGAAGATTGGCATCGCGCGCTGGCTGCAAAATCGGTCTCGGGAGATGCGTGCGCAGGTGCAAAAAAATTACTCACTGCGTGGAGCCCCCCATATGTGCATCCTTTTTTAAAGGTAATTTTGTATATGGGTCTACAGGAACACACGTAAAACACCAAGGACTCGTGCCCCAGGAGAGGCCCAATATATAGAAACAAAAATAAAACAAGTAGGATTGCGTACACAGGAGAATGACAATATATATATATATATATATATATATATATATATATATATAGAAACATACGTATAACATCAAGGAATCGTATTCCAGGTGAGGCCCAATCGATAGGAGCATACGTAAAACACATGGGATTGGAGCCACTCCTGTTGCCTTCTGAGGCCTCCTGCTCCTGGGGCCTCTCGGGGCCTCCTGTTGCCTTCCGAGGCCTCCTGGCGCCTCCTGTGGCCTCCTGGGGCCTCCTGTGGTTTCCTGAGGCCTTCTAGAGCTTCCTGGGGCCTCCTGGGCCCTCTTGGGACGTCCTGTGGCCTCTTGAGTCTTTCTGTGGCCTCCTGATGCCTCCTGGGACCTCATGTGGTCTCCTGGGGCCTCCTGGAGCCTGTTGGAGCCTCTTGTGGCATCCTGAGAAGAATCTGCGCCCACGAGCCTGGCCACCAAAACAGGCAAACCGATCGAGACATCCTCAAAATCTGGCCCACCTGGGGGGTGAAAATGAGCGCCTCGCTCGAGACATCCTCCAAATCTGCTCCGAAAGCGAAGGATGTTGAGCCCAGAAACAAGCAAACCGCCTGAGACATCCCCACAAAATGGCCGCGAACGAGCCCGTGCAACCACCCCTGGCGGCTCCCCTTAGGGGTGCTGAAACCAGCGCCCCGCCTGAGACATCCTCACAATCTGCTCTCCAAGCGAAGGATGTTGAGTCCAGAAACAAGCAAACCGCCTGAGACATCCCCACAAAATGGCCGCGAACGAGCCCGTGCAACCACCCCTGGCGGCTCCCCTTGGGGGTGCTGAAACCAGCGCCCCGCCTGAGACATCCTCACAATCTGCTCTCCAAGCGAAGGATGTTGAGCCCAGAAACAAGCAAACCGCCTGAGACATCCCCACAAAATGGCCGCGAACGAGCCCGTGCAACCACCCCTGGCGGCTCCCCTTAGGGGTGCTGAAACCAGCGCCCCGCCTGAGACATCCTCACAATCTGCTCTCCAAACGAAGGATGTTGAGCCCAGAAACAGGCAAACCGCCTGAGACATCCCCACAAAATGGCCGCGAACGAGCCCGTGCAACCACCCCTGGCGGCTCCCCTTAGGGGTGCTGAAACCAGCGCCCCGCTTGAGACATCCTCCAAATCTGATGTGTGTTGAGTAAGTCTGAGTATGAGTAGGTCTGAGTATGAGTATGCCTGAGTATGAGTAAGTCTGTGTATGAGTAAATCTGTGTATGAGTAAGTCTGGGTATGAGTAGGTCTGTGTATGAGAAAGTCTGTGTATGTGTACGTCTGGGTATGAATAAATCTGAGTATGAGTAATACTGTGTATGAGTAAGTCTGGTATGAGTAAGTCTGTGTATGAGTAAGTCTGTGTATGAGTATGTCTGAGTGTGAGTAAGTCTGAGTATGAGTAGGTCTGAGTATGAGTAAGTCTGAGTATGAGTAAGTCTGAGTATGAGGAGGGGGGGAGGAAAGAGGAGGAGGAAGAGGGAGTAGGAGGCGTCCAAGTAATAACAAGAACCCCATCTTAGGATATGGGGAACAATCCTTGTCCATGTCGTGATTGCTGCAGAGCGGACATTGTGGCGAGTGAGGTTTCGCCGCGTGCTGATTATTGGTATTGTCCCTGTTGCGTGCTCCCCGTGCTATGCTCCTGGTTAGACGTTGCCAAGCCGTGCGCCTGCATGTAAATATCTGCTTGCAAGTGGTGCACTCGTTGTTGCTTGTGAGGGTAGCTGCAAAGTTGTGGATGCGGTGCGTTTTGATGATGTGTTTGTGCAATGCTTTCTTGCTTGCAAGTTGTAGTCCGCGTTCTCCCGCCCCGTCTTGTAGTTCACATTTCCAGGATCTGCTTCCTTGTAGAGCTAGAGATTCCGGATGTTCGTCCGTTCGCTCCAGTACTCCAGGAGGGGGGCTGCTACTATTAGTTATCTGCCCGTGCCCTCCCGAACGTCTAGTAGGCGTAGCTGCCCCCGAACTTCCAAGGCGAATAGGCGACCGAGTCGGATTTCATCTGCGTCTCCCGAGGCGTTGAACAAACTTCCCGAAACCTTGCGTGCGTATCTGGCGTTCTCGAGGCACCGTTCGGCCCATGGGTTCGCGCGGCCAGTGAGTTCGTCTCCTTCGTCGTTCTCGTCCGTGATATCGAATCCGAGCTTTCCAAACAAGACGACGATGCTGTCGGTGATTATTCGGGCACATGTCTATCTTTTTGAACCATCCGAGTCGTCGTGCTAATGCTTCCTCCGCCGGCGGCAGTATCTGCCAGTGGCGGGGGACTTCCAGCGCGCGAAATGGCCGCGCGCTGCCGTCCTCTCTCCGCGTTGCGGCGTCTCCTCGCATGGCCTCGCGCAGCAGCGCCCCCGTCGCGCAATGCAGTTGGTCGCGCCCGCTGGGCGTCGGCAGGTAGCGCTCGATGCGAGACGGGCCCGTGTTGATCACTCTGAATATCAATGCTGTTCGTTTCCATTGGCATGGTGCGTTGGCCTTACTCCAGAAGGCCCCGCACTCGTAGTAGCTCTTCTTCATGGCCGTGATCCGTAGCGCCAGCTCCGCTGCGTAGCCCTGTGTCGGGCTGGCCTGTGGTCCCAAGTATCTCGCCGTCGGCAGCGTGCGTCCTGGTGACCGATGGTCTCTGTCGTGCTTGAGTAGGTGATGGGCTTGTCGGGTGCCTGCGCCCTGGAAGTGGACGATGTTATCCTGCTTGTCCTGGCTCTGGCGCATGCCGATCTCTTGTGATCGGTCGTTGAGGTGCTCATCGACTCTTATCGCTTGCCGTGCCAAGTGCGTCGAATTTGCCGTCTTGCCTCCCAGCGTGATCCTACGTAGGTCGTCCGCGTGCTTTGCCGGTCCCGCGTGCGCTGGTTGTTGGAATAGCTCGCTGCGCCCATGCAGGAGTTTGTCGCAGTCCAGGCTGTCGTTGCAATCTTTGACCCAGCGTTGAATGCATGGCGCGAAGCTCGCCGCGAAGTTACGCGCCATGTACGGGTCTCCTATGAGACCGCCGCAGCGTGGCTTGATACAGGCTGCTTCCTCGCTGTCTCCGCGCGGCATTCGGAATGTGGCCCGTCGGTATCTCTGCTCTCCCATGTCCCGCGCGACTTCTGGCATGAGCTGGCTATTGACTGCGTCGGTCGTATTCCAAGAGCAGCTGGCGAACGCGATAGGCATGTCCTTCATGGTCGTGATGAAATTGTATC